GGGGTTGGGGGGGTTCCGGTGAGGGTGTTAGTGGTGGGGTTTCTGCAAAGCACGGGCTTCAGCAGACATTGACAACAACGTACCTGGCTTTCTGCAAACGATAACCTTCCGCCCAAAACTTTGAAAAAGGGGCTGGGGGTGTCAGTGGCAGGGTAGGGACGGTACTTCCCACCCAAAAACTTTGAAAAGGGGGTGGGGATTATAGCGTTAGGGGGCGCTTGTCACTGCTGTCTGGTCAAGGCGCCCTCGATACTAGTAGGGTGATGGTCCTGACTGCTGGTCACACTGGGGTGTTAGTGGCAGGGTAGGAACGGTGCTTCCACCCAAAAACTTTGAAAAGAGGGGTGGGGGTTGTAGGTGTTAGGGGTTGCTTGTCATTGCTGTCTGGTCCAAGTTGCCCCCGACACTGGTAGGGTCATGAATGCTGGTCACACTGAGGTAGGATAGGAGGGATAGGGGGTGCATTGGGACCATTAACGTGGGGAAGGGTAGGGAAGGTGGCCTATCCTGTCAGGACAACCACCGGCTGCCGCTGCCACCTATCACCGTGGGTCTAGTCCTTTGCCTCAACATTGCCCTGGTGTCAAAAAAAAAAAAAAAGAATGCGCTGCGGCCAACCAGCGGAGAACCGGCCTGGTCGACCGGCCTGTAGGACCAGTCCAGTTCCGGTTGGGGGAGGCCCCCCTGGTCCTACCGGGTTTTCAGCACTGTCTCCAAGTGGTTTTGTCCATAGTTGCGGAGCACCTCGGTGCGCGGATTCGCGCACTGCGCGCAGCGCAGCGCACTGGAAAAATTAGGTCCCCAAAAAAAGGAAAAAAAAGTAGGGGTTTTGTCATTCCTTAGGGCCCCCAACTCGGCAAAAATGTTAAACTCACCGCGCAAGTTCAGAAACCGGCCGCACCCCCAGCCCAAATTTTGTCTTTGGGCAAGGGCTGCCAAATTTCGATTTCAGCGGGCCCTGCCCCCAAAAGTTTCAAAATGGCAAAGCATAAAATAGGGCTCATTCCAACTTTTGTCTTAGGCGGGGAATGGAAACTGGCCTTCCCCTTCCCTTCTGCAAATCCCACACAGTGGTGGGTTAGGTTCGCAAAAAGGGGGTAGTCGCCTAATAACGACCTGCCCCGCGAAGCTTCGCGGAAGTCACGAGTTGCATTTTCCACGGGCAGCCGACCACCAATATATGCTGAAGATTGGCGTTCAGGTCTGCATGTCAGTAGTTATGGGTTAGGATGAAGATGCCCGAAGCTCTCTCGTTTTTTTTTTTGTTTTCTTACGAATACGTACAGTGGGGCCTGCTCCACTACTCACCACATGCACAAAAGAAATAGCCTATGGCGGTGTATGGCTCCATGTTTTAGCAAAAGATTCATTCTGCTAGTAATACGTACATTTGGTGAGTGGTGGAGGGAGGATGAAGATGCCCGTAGCTCTCTCGTTTTTTTTGTTTTTGTTTTCTTACGAATACGTACAGTGGGGCCTGCTCCACTACTCACCACATGCACAAAAGACATAGCATATGGCGGTGTATGGTTCCATGTTTTAGCAGAAGATTCATTCTACTAATATTATATATATTTGGTGAGTGGTGGAGGGAGGCCCTGAGAATCACGTGGAGACACGAACAGGGTCTAGCTGATTTGGTGACCCATAACTGCCGAGCTACAGCCCTGAACTCGAATCACACAGCATATATTTGAAACGGTATTTCCCAATTCGAAGTAGCTGATGTAGGTACCAGGGCTCGATCCCTAGTTCCCCAACTTACCTGTGTACAATATCTGTGTAGTTGTAGGACTTGAACCTGTGACCTGTAGGATAGCCACTTGCAGGTAGGTCATCGTAGGCACCAGAGAAGTAAGGGATTCGAACCACAGACCTATAGGGCAAAAATCGAAGTAGGGTCCAGAGGTCTTCTAGAAGGTCGACCAGTGGGCAAGTGGTGTAGCTAAGTCTACTTGCGCCGTAGGACTGTGA